CGTCTAAAAGACTCTCAACTGGAAAGAAAAGAATGCCAGCCTGGCCCTCCTGTTGCAACCCTTGTGTTCCCGGGCGGGCAGTCAGCTTCTCCCCTAGAGAAAAGGAGCTCTGAGGTGGAGCCACATCTGTAGGGAAAAGGGAAAGGCACCTGGAGCGTGTGAAGACTGCCATTTGCCAAGGGACAGGAACCCTCCCTAGGGCCTGCTCTCCCCTCTCCAGGCATCCCCCCCACACTCACCTTCTCGATCAGGGTGGGGGCAATTTCCTTGTTGATGTGCTCCACAGCCTTCACTACCCCTGTGTGACAAGCAACCAGAAAAAGAAGAAGGGGGGGGGGGTCAACAGGACAGACTGACCCCCAAGGAGCCAAGTCATGCCCCGTTCCTCTTCAGGGCTGCCCAACAGGGCGGCAAATGCTATTCCTGCGGGGAGAATGGACAGAGAATGCCCACCGAGGGGACCTCAGCTTTCGTTCAGTCCTCTCCTGGTAAGTTCCTCTCCTGGTGAGTTCCACCGGTCACTTTTTGCCCCCGCCCATCTTCCCGCTTTTCTGTTTTTCCTTAATAGTGGTGATTGGCCAGCCCCACAGAGACTTTGGGACAGGGAATCTCACCCTCCCTGTATTTCTTGCCCCTTACCTTTGCCCAGGTATCTGGCTTTGTCACCATCCCTCAGCTCCAGGGCTTCATAAATGCCAGTGGAGGCACCGCTAGGCACCGCAGCCCGGAAGCGGCCTGTCCAAGAGAGATGGAGTCAGCCCGTCCTGTACCTTCCTCTTTTGCACTGAGGGGACCCAAAGCCTCCTCCCCTGCCCCTCCCATTTACCCTTGGCAGTGTGCAGATCGACCTCCACCGTTGGGTTCCCCCGCGAGTCGAGGATTTCACGGGCATGGATCTTCTGGATCGACATCCTGCAGGGGCGAGGGAGGGGGTGAGCAGCGGGGTCAAGCCCCTTCAGCCCCGGCACCTGCTGGCCTGCCTGCCCGACTGCCCGTTTCTGAGGAGCTGGACTCAGTCCATGTGCTGATGGGGGGGGGGTGGAACCCCGCCCTGGAGGGGGTAGGGAAGGGGCAGCTGCCAAGACTAAAAATAGCCACTCCCCCCCCTTCTCTTCTGCTTCTGCCGGAACAGCAGCCTGGTCTTGGGGCAGCAAGGAGACCTACGAGGTGCAGCTGGGGACTTGGAGGGGGGGCCTGGAGGGGTCTTCATAGCGCCCCCGAAGAGATGAGGGGCAGGCCTGGGCTCCAGAGCTCTGAAAAGGCCCCACTCCGGGGCGTGCTGAAGACCCCACAGGCCCAACGCACACCCTGGAGAGGCCAGAAGAGGGGGTCCAAGCATGGGCAGGATGGGGCACCCCTCTCCGGGGTGGCCAGTGCTGCCAAAGGTTGTTTGCACAGCCAGGAATTCGGCTCCCCCCACCAGCTTCT